TGTATACATGTAATACAGTATTCTGTTTTTGTTAAAACAAATTGTTATATGTATATATACACACACACACACACACACACACATATACGTGTGTGTGTGTGTGTGTGTGTGTGTGTGTGTGTTAGTGTGCGCGCTTTCACAATACAAATGTACAAATACAAAAAGAAGAAAGAAATGAGAGAGAGGAGAAAAGGGATTAAGAGTGTGTGAAAGAGAAAAAAGCAGAGAAACTCAGCAAGTGAGTGAGTGAGCGAGTGAGTGAAGGGGAAGCGCAGTGCTTGCTGTTTGTTATTTCACTGGGCTGCGCTGGGAACGGCTCAGCGGAAACAAGTGAAAACAAGGCCTAAAAAAAGAGGAGAGAGGATGTACAGATGTGGACAGCCAGCAGAACAGCGTGGAGCGTTTCCACCTAGGGGCCACAGCGGGGCCCCTAACGCAACAGCACAAAAACACTCATGGCTTCATGCACTTATCACTGATAAGGCTAAACACAGAAAAAGCCATACCACCTCGGCCTGCTCTGAGCACCGGTCAGCTGAGGATTATTTTTAGATTTAACTCCTTACAAGCCTGTTCCACATAGGAATGTGTATGCTTCCGTATTACAGGCCTGACAGGCCTGCTGAGGAACGATTCTAATTACACGTTCCTGAAAAGGCAAGTTTACGAGTCTGTCTGTCTGTACAAATTTTGCTTCCTAATTGATTCTTGTCCTGGCTGTACATTTATACAAAAAACTTTGGAATATAACTGTTAAATTATGTGGAGTGTCAAAAAACTTAACGGTTCTATAGAGGTCAAAAATGTAAAAAAATTCTAAGAGTGTAGTGAGAACCTCAAAACCAAACATCTACATTAAGGAGAGAGGAGGCTAAAATAAAGAGGTTGTTTAATTTCCTCTGAAGACTTGCCGCTCAGGGTGGAATCTGATATCATGAGAAGCAGAAAAACTCAGTTACTCTTTCTGCCTGGAGTCATGTGGAGTCAATATGGAGGAAAAGCATTGTAAAGCCTAAAGGCTGACCTAGACGCTGGCTCTACTGTAGGTCAGTTTGTGCCACATGGTCTAGTGGACCGTGGGAAGTCAGAGAAGCAGCTGATCAGCCAAAAAAACAGAAAGAGGAAATGTGGCAAAGACTCACAGGGTTTTATGTAAGAGTGCACTGATCTGATACTCAGGATCTGTATTGATCCGATACTGGCCAAAATCACTGGATCAGATATTGGAAGAAAAACTAAAATATAATCTGATCACTGAGGTATAGGCTACACTGAATGTTAAAACTATTACACAAAGCTGCACTTTAATTTCATTTTGAATGTCTGAATTGTGCTGGCCGATCAAAAATGCTGCTAAAAGTCCTATGTGTGAAAACAGTAAAACGAAAAACAGCAGTATTGCATAACTGAATCATGGGCTATGTATTTCTTCCTTTAGGGAAGTAGATATTGGTTTCACAGATTGAGCATTATGTTATTTAGATAGCTGGATTAAGAAAAGTGCATCTAGACAAATGTTTTATTAACAGCCAAGTTGTTTAAGAGAGGGGAAAAAGATTGGATTGGTTTTGGTATCTGCAAATACTTAAGGCTGCAGTATCAGTATTGAACGTAAAGTGGTATCAGAAAATTAAAGGCACAAACTGCGGAGTAAAGTCTGAAAAGATGAATCAGGAGTACTGACTAATTCATTCAGGACTTTAACCAACTTCACAGGGCTGTACGATATGGACAAAGGTCTCATATAACAAATATAATTTTTTATTGCTATTGATATACCTTGCAATGTACTAAAAGCATACTGGAAACCCTTCATATAATAGTTAAAGGACTTGCTTTGACAAGAAGGTGACACCTGACTAACAGGCAAACCAATCAATCACAGACCATTATTTTAGTACAACATATAGAGGTATGAAAACAGTGCTACATCAAAAACAGATCCATGTTAAACAAAAGTAGCATGAAACATGTTGGATATTTTGGTTACTTCCTAAGAACTGGTTCAAACTAAACACTTCAAAAACTTTTAAAGGCAGGATGCTGTGGTTTTTGTAAATCTAATGTGCTCTTAAAGGCTCATTGTTGTCATTGTGAGCATTTAGCTTGAAAAGTCCCCTCCTACCATCAGACTGATAAATATGGTGTATGGAAGTGCATGTGCAGAGCAGTGGAGATAGCCAGAGTTTAACTGGCAGAATTACGAAAGTTGTGGAATACGACACGTATCAGATGGTCAGCATACATCCGAGGCTGAAGCGGCTGTGGCTAGTCATGAGACTAGTAATAAGTCTGATCATGTGAATGCCTTAATTCATCAAACCACCTACAGAATCACTCAGCTGAAATAGATATCTGAGGTCAGGATGTTCACAGTACACAATGAAAAATGTAGTCATCTTTGCAATTCTGATTTCACAGAGGTTTGTAACATTCAAAGACTAATACTGTGATAATGACCACCAAACAATATATTCTGAGGCTCTATTACTGTACAGTCTTCATAATTTACAAAGCAGATGTATACTTGGGTACAGACTTATGGTTTTCCCCAAGCTGAAGGGGCATTTTGAGTTTATGTGAACAGTGAAAACATTTACCTTTATATATTCATATACATTTAAATACATATTTTGCATCTGTTATATTTGCTTATCATTTGGGCAGCAGTAATTAACTAATAAACATGTCTTAATAACTGGAAAGGGCAATTCTGTCCTTGTCTGAGCTATATAAGCCTCTCTTGGCCTCTCACTTGAGCCTGTGACTTGGTCATCTGTCTGTCTGAGTGCGTGGAGCTTGAATGAAGCTGTTGTGTGCCCTACTCCAGTCTCTGTCTCTGCTGCTTATTGTCCACAGTGTTGGCAGGGCAGAACACAGAAAGAGGCCTCTACATACCCCAGCAGCTGGACCAGCACAGAGAGAGCAAGTGAACGAGAGAGCGCAAGAGAGGGAGGGGACAGGTACAAAGTAGTGCTTGTTCTACCTCTCCTTTCTCATCTTTTTCAAACTCAAGTGGTCTTGCACATTCTATATATTAGTTCTGGCCATTTATCAGCTGTATATCTTTCTCAGTCCGATTTAGCTTGCTTGTCTGACTATCTTCTCTGAAGTCACCCTACAGTTAAATAGTGTTTTCTTTGGGCTAGATGAACATACAAACACAGCAGTTGCAACATCTATGGTGGAGAGGATTCTCACTGGGAAGGGAGGCTGCGATTTGAAAGGCGGATGGGGGAGCTAAAAAAAAGGAAAGGCTTGCGAGAAAAGGAGAGGAGAGGGGAGGGTGAGAGAGAAAAGGACAGGGGAAATGAGTAGAAGAGAGAAGCGCTCCTAGTCAGTATGTCATATGCTGAGGAACAAAAAGGTGTGGACAGGCAGAGCTGGGGTTACAGATAGTTTAAATGAGGAAGGGTCCACACCGAAGGGAAAAAACAGACTTAAGGAAAATTATGTGGGTTGTGCTATTCATAAGGGACTGAGGTTAAGTATTGGACTATTCCCCATGATGCTAGATAAACCACCCTGTCAATACTGCTTAAGACCAGGCCTTACTCAATTAAAAACATTAAAAAAATGAGAAATCTACTAAAATTTACCTTCTCAATGGCTTGGCAATAATCTGCATGTAGTTTGCATGATGATAATGCATATTTTAAATACTCCTACTGAAACATGTATGGATATTGCTTATTTTGATGTGCTGTTTTTATAAAGTCTTTTAAAGGCTTCCTATTTGATCTTTTTGCAATAATTGTGTTCTTTTTTGTATTTTGAAGTCTTGAGAATGCTCTGTGTGGATTGCGATGGCTATGTTAGGCCATTTTTATTTTCTGGTGGTGTAGAATACTTATTCCCTTTTCGGGCAAGCACAGCACACTACACAAGAGTCTTTGGGCAAGACTCCTAACACTACATTTGCCTACCTCTGTAACACAATTACACTGTATGTCGCTCTGAATAAGAAAGTAAGCAATAAGTAAACAGTTGGCCTTTGTAATGCTGATATTTTTAATTTATCATCAAAATAATCAGTGGACTACTCAATTACTAACAAAACCAATAGTGACAGCCCTACTGCAGACATTTCCCAGTACTTACTGACTCTGCTGTATATTAAAGTCATGAAGCTAATAGCCAGCTGTAAACTACAATGACCACATAAGTTGTAATTACAAGTGCGGTATCATATTCGGCCGCATTCACCCTATAATCAACCCGCAGAATGGAAAAAGCAATAAGATGGACTGCATGCACAACAAACCACAGCTGCCTTCCATTCCACTCCATGGCTGTCCAGTTCTGCACAGGCTTATTTGAGGTGCTTGCCCCTTAATGAGGTTAAAGGTCAACCTCTCGCCGGAGTTCAGGTTTGAAGAAACAAGAGCATCTTTTCTTTAGCTGACCATGAAAGCGCCCTCTATAGTGCTAAAAGACCCTCTTTGTGAGTGTGAGAAGGAGAGAGATATCAACCTATCACTGTACATTCAAAAAGCCCCTCCATCCAACCCCCCCACTGTCTCTCTCGCTCTCTCTTCTGAAGAAGCAATTATGTGGGAATTTACAATCCTTCTTCTCAAAAAAAAAAAAATCCCCATGGTCTAAAAGAAAAGAAAGAAAAACCCTTCCTTTCAGTGTGGTGTGTGTGCACACACGCTTTCTCTTTCTCCAAGGAAAGAGGAGAGAGGAGGAAAAAAAAAGGTGGAGGAAAGAAAAGCACAAGTCCCTCTCTGTCAAGCGGCAGGGACAGAGTGGTATTGTTAAGACCCCCTCCACCCCCTTCACACACACACACACACACACTCACCCCTCCTTCCCTCTGAATCACATGAAAACAAACGCGTTTATTGAGAGGCGCTCGGACATCTTTGATTAGAGCCGGTGACTCAGCAGAGACGGAGAGAGAGAGATGGAGTGAGGAGGGGAAAGAAGGGAGGACCGAAGGAAGAAAGAAGGATTTTCAGGCAGTGTTGAAAGGAGAGAGGGGACAGGGGTCTTACCTCGTGGTCTGGTATCTCTGAGGACAGAGCCTGTTCCAGCACTGTCCCTGTCAGATAGGTCCAGCAGCGGGCAGTATTGGCAAGGTTATAACCGCCTGTGTGCGTGAGTGTGTGTGTGTGTGTATGAGAGAGAGAGAGAGAGAGAGAGAGAGAGAGAGAGAGAGAGAGAGAGAGAGAGAGAGAGAGAGAATGAATCTCAGCAAAGGGCTTCATTGTACTGCTGTAATTACTACCTTTCATCCAGTGCTTGGCCAGGCAGGTCTTGAGTTCAGAGCTCATTTCAAAATGGGCTAAAATCACAAAGTTTACCTCCTTTACCCCCCTCCATTAACTACACACTAATAAACTTTTTGGCCTGGGCTACTGCCTGGCAACAGGAACAAGAGAGGACCTCAGCAGGCATGGACAAAAACACTCAGCGTCTTTGACAAGAGCTTGTCAGTGTCTTTTGTTACACTTGAAGACAGCAATCTACTTGGAAGCATGACAACACTGCTAGAAAATGTGCTTATTTAGACTCCCAGTTGACAACATATACACACACATTTGTGCACATACACAAACACACACCTCCTCCTAGCAGCAGCGTAGGTAGCTCCCACTCCAGAACATGGCTCAGACACTTGCCCACCCCAACAGGAGTCATGTTGAAGGAGCACATGGGGTCACCGGCCATGGTGTCGGCACCTAACTGCATCACGACAGCTTCTGGATTAAACACCGCTTTCACTTCCTGCATGACGCTGTCAAAAGGACGAGGAGAATTATGAGACATAAGAGACATAAATTACTGATTTTATGGAACTAAAAATTTCAATAAACAGTCATATCAGTCCAAAGCAGGGTTGTCATGACACCAGAAATTTGATATCGATACCAAGAGGAGTATGACAATGCTTGACACCAAATGATAATATGGCAAAATGTAAAACACTCATCACTCTCTGAACACCAAATGTTCACTAGATTAAACTCAGAGGAATGCTACATTTTTACAGCTTAATTAACATGTTCTTTTTTCAATTCAGTATCCTTATCAAGGCAAAACTTTTCAAATGCAGAAAAATACCACATCAATCTGGTGCTACTTAATTAGATGTTCTATAATTAAATTTCAAAAGTATTGAAAGTATTCCAAGTTGTAGCACTGAATTATTCGCTAAACAGCAGTATTGAAAAAGTACTGATCTTTTGATACTTCTGGTCTGCAATTCTAGTCCATACAATTTAATATGGTCAAAAAATTGAAACAAACCCAAACATTTTAGTTAAATTGTGCTTTACTGACTCATATGCTTGTCAGTTGTCAACTGTAAATGTTATCCATGACTATGTTTTGTATCCAAATTCACCCTGTTTTGCTGTAATAGAAGTGAGGAGATGGTAACCATAAGGTTAGCAGTCTTAATAAAGGCATATGAGCATGAAGCCACAAAATCCTTAGAAATAACATCATACCATAAAAAAAAAACAAGCCACTATTTATTCTGACTTTTTGGTGATATTGATATCAACCAATATTCTTGGCCAACTGATATACTGGTCATGCATTAAAGAGAATGAGAAAATCTCAGTGAGGTTGTCACACAAACAGCTAAATTGAAACTTCTTTAAGAACAACAAACGCACAATAACACATGGACCAAGGGCGAACATCTGATGGAAGAAATGAAGGTGAAGGTGAGAAGCAGACCTGGTAAAGACCTGGAGGTAGCGGTCATCTCTGATTCCATCTTCCAGAGGCACATTGACAGCATACCAGCGGCCCTTCCCCAGTCCTGTGTCACTCACATCACCTGTACCTGTCAAATAGCAGGTGGTTGGCAATAGAGCTGGATGTCATTAAAAACTTTTGCATAGCAATACTGATACCCTGACTCTGATACCGATTCTTTTTCATCATCATCATCATCGTTAACCGCTTAGTCCAGATAGGGTCGCGGTAGCAGTTGGGAGAGCAGAGAATCCCAGATGACCCTGTCCCCCGCAACTTCCTTCAGCTCATTCCCGGGGACCCCAAGCCGCTCCCAGGCCAACTTGGAGATATAATCCCTCCAGCGGGTCCTAGGACGACCCCGGGGTCTTATTCTGGTAGGCCGTGCCTGGTACACCCCCACCGGGAGGCGTCCAGGGGGCATCTGGATCAGATGCCCGAACCACCTCAGCTGGCTCCTCTCAATGCGGAGGAGTAGCGGCTCTACTCCGAGCTCCTCCCGGATGGCCGAGCTCCTCATCCTATCAAATAGAGTGTAGCCCGCCACCCTGCGAAGAAAGCTCATTTCCGCCGCTTGTAATCGCAATCTCACTCTTTCGGTCATTACCCACAGCTCATGACCATAGGTGAGGGTCGGGATGTAGACCGATCGGTAAACAGAGAGCTTCGCCTTATGGCTCAGCTCCCTCTTCACCAGTACAGTCCGGTACAGCGACCGCATTACTGCTGCCGCTTGTCCCAGCCTGCGGTCGATCTCACAATCCTTCTTCCCATCACTCGTGAAAAAGACCTCGAGATACTTAAACTCCTCCACCTGGGGCAAGTCCTTTCCCCTTACCCGGAGTGGGCATACCATCCTTTTCCGGGCTAAGACCATGCTAAGACCATGGACTCAGACTTGGAGGACCGATTCTTTTTCCAGTACATTATTTTAAATACAATACATATTGCGTTAAAAGTCATAGATTGCAATCAATTGCCGAGTAATCAGGAGGAGCACCATGCAGAATTTAAGAAGCACTGACATTACTAACATTCTTATGACTTCTAATTTAGATTTAGCCAGTCAACAGTCTAGATTTTGCTGACCGATTAATAAAGTATTCAAATTTGACATCGAATTCCACAGAATTTTTCAATACTTGGCAGTACTTAAGTAAATTAGTCGGTACCATAAACATATTGAATTTCGATAACCAGTCCTAGTAAGCAACACTCTAAAACCGCACCTTCAGTTCCTGACATGTGTTAACCTGAGTATAACGCTACTCCCTATAAAACTCACCTATAAAATTTAAAATAATTGACAGCTTCTTGCCTGCAATGGCTGCATAATCAATGGTGTTTAATGGGGAATAGCCGTTCTCTCAGACCATGTACTTTCTAGTAAAAATCCAGAAGCACTGGTAGCTGTTTATAACCAAAAAATCTCAGACCATATAAATTATTTTTATTTTAACATATAAGCTCAACAGCTAAAATGTGGTCTTTACATGGATCTGCCCCCTTTGCACACTATTCTCCTCAAGTCAGCAAAGCCATTGTCTCCACTATCGGATTGGTAATCAGACTCTATGGGCACTGATGTGGAGTTGGCTGCTCAGGGTTTGGCATCGGTTGAAACATGGCTGTCAATTAAGTGAATTAAAAAAGGCAGGCTGGTCTGCACTGAGGCAAAGAGGCATGCTGAACCAACCTGGGAAGAAGCCAGGAGAGAACTTGTGCAGAGACACGGTCATCACTTTGGAAGTGAAGCTGAAGGCATCTTCCACACCTGTAGATAAGACCATAGATCAGATAGCATCATTATAAGCAATATAAAGATCCCTATTCATCAAAATATATATAGTAAAGGCACTATGAGCTTTGTTTATTGGACACAGATTACATAATTTAACCACTTAACCAGTTCAAAACCAAACATGACATGTCTACTGTATGAAATTTGGCATGTATGAGACACTGACTCAAAATAATTTACACTTGAACAAGACTGTAGACATAACAGTGATATTTTTACGGCTTTTATTTTAATGATTACCATCTCCATGATGAAGATCCACATCCACATAAAGTACCCGCTCATACTTCTCTCGCAGTTTGAGGATGCCCAGAACAGCATCGTTCACATAGCAGAAGCCTGACGCCTCATCCCTTCAAACACAAACACACACAGCATTGTTTAGCACTGGGTACTTTGCATTATATTAGACTCATAACTCAGATTTTTCTTTGGCTTGCAAGACAACACAAACATTTCCACTTACTTATTTAACACTGTGGATGAAGCTGCCTTATCCAAATACTCAGTGTAGCCTGATCCATTTTAAAACATCGCAGAAATACACTAAGATGTTTTTGAGTATTTTAAATATTTATATTATAATTTCTGAAAGACCACTGAATTAAGTCTGTCACTGGCATATTCCACACAACCCTTTCAAAAGCTAAGAATTACATTGTTTAATAAACAAATCCACAGCTATATGAACAAAAATGGTCGAATTACATGTTTTGTTAATTTTCTAAGTGAAAAACACTATACTTTTAAATATATTTTAGAGCATAGATTCTTTTATTTGCTGAATTTAGCAGAAAAACAACATACTAAATGTGCCATAACCTTTGTATAAGCTACATTTTACATTTTCTTTGTTTCCTCAATATTTTAAATCCAGCAAATAAACAGTAATTGGGCATTAAAATGTGCAGAAATGTGTTCTGTAGATGATGTGTTAACTTTGTTTGGACAAATGTTTATTACATCTGAATCCATTTGAATGTGTTTTCTATTTGCAAATCAGCAAATCATATGTACTGTGTCGCACAGCCTTAAAAATTAAAAACTTAAAAGTTAATTTTGAGCATCAAAGTAATCTACTACTGCAGAAAACAGGCAGTTTTGCTATGAGGCTATCAGGAACTTTCTAATCTGGTGACTCAGTGATTGTTTTAAAGGTTGACAAAACAGGCTTGCTGAGTCCTCTTACTTCTTGGCATGATGCCAGCCTCCTGCCCAGTTGATGGCCACTTCACACTTTCCATCCACCAGACACTGGGCAGCAGTCAGAGTGGCTCCACCAACAGCCGCTGCATAATCAAATATACCCTCCACTACCGGGCAATCATACCCTAGGGAGTGATGGACAAAAAGAAAGCAAAGAACTGCATTAAGGAAAAAATCTGGCAACTGAACTGCCTCCTACACTATAAGATAAAAACTTCCAAAATAGTCTGAAGTATTTGTATGTCAGATGCTTAAAGCATACATGGCTGATATCCAACATAAAGGCAAGCTGTGACCATGCTGATGGACTTGAACTGAAGCTGAACTGACTTTCATAGAAGCTTTGGACCTACACTGCCCTCTGGTGTCTGAAAGTGAGTATTGCATACAATAATATGACGCACATGGCTTGACATGATGCACATGTACATTGTCAGTTTTTTTTCACAATTCTCACCTGAAACCAGTTTCGCTACTTTTATTTAAGTCTTAAGAGTTAAGAGTCCAGTCTAAGAAATCTGCCTCCTGAGAGTGAACCTGACAGCTAGGATTAAAGCTCAAATGCCAGTCGTGCAATTCACTATTTGACATAGATATGGCAATGCAAAATGTCACAAATAGTTGCTAAAGCAAATAAAATGATTGGTATTAATCAGTTACTGAACATCAAAGTCTTCGTCCACTCTCTGGCTCTCCAACTGCTTTTGAACAACTTGAACAATTTGGAAACTCTCACATCTAATAACTCAATTTATTATGATGAAACTGATCGCAAAATTAATTTCACGTCAGCCTTACTTGCACTTCATTGGCTTACTAATGTTTACTACTAGTAGTACTACTACTACTAGTGTTCACATACACACACACACACACACACACACACATACATACATACATATACATATATATATATATATATATATATATATATATATGTATACATACATACATATGTTGTTGTTCTGTAGTTTTTGTTGTTTTTCTATGAGTATTGACAAGGAGGACATTCACTTCATGATGCATTCCTACATGCATCCCACCATAATAAATAGTGGTTTTGCAGTACACAGTCACCATTTCAGAAGTACTCAAAAAGTTTACACATGCAGTGACTCTTACCCAGTCCGAAATCAGCAGACTGAGGGTCATCATTGTCTCCGTTCTGACTGATCTTGTGGAGATGCTCTAGGTAGGAGTGCGTGTGGAACACTGCCATCTCCTCCATTGTAGCCACATGAGGCTTGACCACCCTGCAATGGTATTGGGTTTCATTTCAGAATATCTCTCAACCATTACCTACATTACTCACCAAACATGTCTCACGTTTGGAGGGGTACAATGCTTAAAGAAGAGTACTTGACAGCAATCCTCTTGGTCATAAAGTAACAATGGTGACCTTAGTGGTGGTTTCTCATAATTTGGCAGTCTAGTGAGCATCAAAAAGATACAGTCCAGAGAAACTGTTGTAAATTTGGAGGAAGGTGCACACCTCATGTACTGTAATAAGCCGTAGGCTTCAACAAGGGAATGCACCATACTTGCCTGGAAAGGTAAACACAGAAGAACAACGTTATGTTTTCAAAGGTGTTACTAAAAAAACACAAAAGGCACGTCGGTTTCAGTACCGCCCGTACACTCTTTATGTCAAAATCTACATCTTCCTATAAGTAGCAGCAGAAAGCCCTGAAAGCGCAAACACAGCTGAGCGTTCAGCTCGAGTACAGAGATGCTGCTCCAGTCAGTCAGTGAACTCACCCGGTTCGGCACTTTCGATAAGGAGTCACACGTCTCAACATAGTCCGAACTGTAAATGTACACCACTCTGCGCTTACTGACTTCTCCATCATTAGAGTCGCCTCTGTCACACATTTAAAACCGTACAGTTAAAAGCAGTAAATCAAGGAAACAAATACATGTAAGGCTCTCGGTACCCTGAGGTTTTTAAAACGAACACAGGCTCAGTGTCACTGACTTCCGGTAGCTACACACTGAATTTCACAATAAAAGCATTTTTCTCACATTGAAAAAGCGAAATGAACCTACTTTCATTAAAGATGATTGACATATTCAAAATGTAACTTACTTTTTACAAGAAAAACGTTTTCAAACACGTTTTTCAAAATAGTTATGTAAGTTTTTTATTGTGTATTAATGTTGGAACACAAAAACATAAACAAAAACAAAATAACTCTCTTCAGGCCTGTCGACAGTCTCAAATCAGATTTTTCTTTTTTTTTGATATAGCATGTTTACTAACAACTTGTGCTATTTCAAACATCATTCAAAGCGTTGAATCAGAGTACGTTCAGCGTAATGTCCATGGCCGATTTTTTCATACTCTTGTTTTGTTTTTTCCTCAGACCGTCATGTCTACAACGCGCATGCGCAATGTCGACAGGCTCTCTGGTGCCGAGCCGTGTCGATGTGGCTGTGATGTCAGGTTTTCAGCGCTGAGCCTGAAACTAAATGCAGACATAATGAAAGTTTCAGCCTTATTTCTGTTTTTTCTGTTTATCCTTGCTGCAGCAGACCAGGACGAGCGGCTTCCTAATAAATGTGAAGGTAAGTTACTTTTGAGCTCAGTAGGAGTTGGGCTTCCACAGTTGTGCTGACTGATGTGGATGATATGTGATAGTTTCTAATACAGAACATTTAAAAGTGAATATCTTTTTCAGTTTGATACGCGTACTGTTCGTGTAAAAATAACTTTCAGTAGTTCTTATAGTAAAGTCAGGGTGTCTGGGGCCTCCCTTCTGACTTTTATCTATTCTCTACTTCTGTACTTGCAATCCTGAATTTTTATATTACATTTTAAATTCTTTCTGCCTAAAGGGGGCGTCCCGACCTCAAACTAGCATTTAGTATGTTATTTGTTATGTACTGTAGTATTCTCCAGTGCATCACTGCGTCTCTCAGCCTCACTGGTTGACAGAATTTACGGTTTTGTTCTCATGTTTTCTTCCGTCAGTGTTCTTTCACTACAATACCCATGATGCATTACGCAAATACTTAACACACTCTTTGGGAATCTCTGTGCTGCTTAACAAATCCTGACTGCTAGCCACAGAACTAGAGGCTGCTAAATACTGTATTCTGTCTCTAATCTGTGTTCCTAGCTTACATATGTGATGTAGCATTAACCTCAGTGGTTGTCAAACCGTTTTCTTTGTTAAATGAATAACTTAGCTAGCGACAAAAAATTAAAATAATAGTAATAATAAAAAACAAACACCCCACCCCTGACTAACCATCCCAAAGCACTTCAAGTCTTTCAGAATTTCTTTCATATTCAAGATACATCATCAGAAAGGAGGTTTTCCTAATCTTTAAACCAGAATTGTTCTAGAGACTACCGTGGCACCACATAAGAGGCTAGTGGGCACGTGCTTAAATTTGTAATCTGTCCCTTTTAGTTATTGTTTAGGATCATTTTACATTTTGGGATATATACACCACAGAAATTATGAAAAGGTGCTTTGCATGTAGTTTTTCATATATTTTTATTTTTTATCTTAGTCTAGTTGTGGTAAATTACTCAACGCCATTTACACTCCTTCGTTATATATTTTTGGGCAGTGTGCAAGTTCTTGACAGTAGAGCTTCAGGCAGTTCTGGAAAAGAGTGGCCGCTCCAAAGAGGTCCTGGAGATTGGAGAGGTGCTGGACACTGGAAAACGCAGACGCAAAATCAAGTATAACACCTCGTAAGTGGCGGGACGTTATGGAGAAATAGGATGGGCCAAGGATAATTGGTTGGATGTAACACAGTAGAGACTGGAATTGTAAAAAGATTGAATTAACTTTAGATATGCGTGGTGTGGTTATTATTGATCAAACTTCGAATGTTTTTTTTTTTTAAGGGAAACACGATTGACAGAAGCTGTGGACAATATCTGTGAAGGGATACTGCAGTACAGCGTCCATGCTGAGAGACCTGGGAGCCTCCGATATGCCAAGGTTGTTTACTACAACACTAGTCAGCCCGTTCCTTTTCTGTATTTTGAGTACTTTAGTATTTGAGCAACTTTTCACAGCAGCCATAAATGCAATTTCCGCCCATTTGAAAGATCCCTCGGTTTTAAATTGTGCATTTTTTCTTCACTAATGTTGATGGAATGTAGTTTAATGGAAGTATTTATGATTTACAAAAGCAGAAGTGAAATAGATCCTTCTCTTTCACGTCTCATTGCTCACTAGCAGCTCAACACAGAGTCACAACATTTCACACACAGAAAGCCAACATTGTCCTAGTTAATCAGATGACAGAGATATGGCAAAAAATATATTTCATTTGATTATATTAATTAAAATATCTGAGTCCATTTCCATTCTGGCAGTGGAATGGCCACTAGGATGCCTGCGGAAAAGAGGCTGCAAGCCTTTCAGTCAAAGCATGTAATCAGAAATTAAATTGGATGTTTAGGCTATTCTTGTTTTGGTATTGTAGTAGTTTGAGCATCATTGTGAATGGGTGTGTGTTTCAGGGCACCAGTCAGACCATGAGCACACTGAAGCACTTGGTTAATAAGGGAGTAAAGGTAGAGCTTGGTATCCCCTATGAGCTCTGGGATGAGCCAACAGTGGAGGTGGCAGACATGAAGAGACAGGTAACAACCATCTGCGGCATATAGGTGTGCACTGTGTTTGTTCATACGTGTTATTTTTGTCTATGGAATGTGAGGATGTGGTTCAGGATAGTCTGTCCGGTTTTGTAACCCATAGCACATGTAAAGTAAACTGTGATCTTAAAAAAATACATGGAGATAGTACATGTTTCTTGGTGGAACTGTATATATTTCAATGTAAATCATGCTTGAAGAGTTTGAGGAGGTGAGACGTATGTTTATTTGTCTTAGTAATACACACTATTATGTTTCAGTGTGAAACTATGTTGGAAGAATATGAGGAGGTGGTAGAGGACTGGTACTTTAACCATCAGGAGGAAAGACTGGAGAAGTTCCTTTGTGAGGCCCATGTCCTGAAAAACTCGGACTCCGGTGAGGGCATTACACTCAAACGCTCTATCTGTACTGAAGGAGAAGAATCTTCCTAAAACAATTTATTCATAGACACAGCCAAGGGAGATTCAAGGATTTTGCCGTTTGAGGGGCTCAGTCCCCAAAGAGAATGTGGGATGTGAAAAAAACAGAAATACTTAAACAGCTGGATGCAATTGGGCATTGAAATTAAGCATATTTGTGTAACTGGAGAAAACAAAACAACTTGTTTCTTTTAAAACATTAGACTGATTGCTGATTAATAGATGTGGATTGTTCTTTTTGGGAGAGGTGCACTTTATGCTCTGCTTTTATGTCCCACACACTTCACAATTAATGCATGCTGTGGAGCACTCTGGGCACCATTTCAGAGAGAATGCATGAATAAATGTTGTTTATTATTAAAAGTTTGAAAAATATTGAGGAAAAATGCATTTATTTCTTAAAAATTAGATGTGTCATGAACATTTATAGAGCACTTCTGTGTTTAAGTAAATGACGTGTCAGTGAATCAACTTTTTTCCCTGATGATGACTAATTGACTTGTTGACTAATTGTTGCAACTCTAAGCTGAATTCAGTGTCAAACTGCACTTGCTCAGACACACAGATTCATATTCGCAGGACACTTTTGTTATTTGTTTAGTCTACTTTTTCATTCTTTTTCAGAATGCCTGAAGGAGGTATGGAAAGGTGACCTGGGGATTAAAGGATCTGCAGAGGAGTCTAAGAGTGACGGCGGGAGTGAGGGAGAAGGACAAACACATGACGCCGGAGAACTCTGACAACAGAAACATGGCAGACAAATTTAAACACTTGGTCTTCCTGCTAGAATATGTCCTGAGGAAGAAGAGTGATCGAACTGACTGTGATTAAAAAAAAACAAGAAACATATCTTGTCTTCCTCTAGTCAATACACTACATGGATAATTCAAGTTACTTCCAGAAGTTTCTAAAGTGCCTTCCTGTCTGCTTGGTTTCTTATTCCAAGCCAGCAGTCTGAATCAGCATCCTCAAGCAATAAGAAACTGTGAGCATGTTATATTCAGTACCAGTCTTCTCTTTTGTAATGGAGAGACACTGTACCTTGAGAACCTGAATCACTTTATCTTGTCTGGCAGTGTGAGGCCAATCTGTAGTTACACACTGCCAATACTTTGCAACCTTTAATGTCCTAGTTTACTTACTTACTGAAGTATTCTGTAATCTAGGACAATAAAAGGGAATTGCACAGATTTTTGAAACATAATTCAATGGTTAAGATATAAACTGTGGCATTAAGAGGGGTTTGACATGAAATGTGCCATCCTTGAAAAATTTATGCAGAGTCAATACACAGTTACAAAATTATTCACAGCGGTGATGATAGGAACCAGACATCCAAAGTGCCTCGAAAACGTATTAAATGAAATAGTTAGAAATACATTGCCTCATGCCTGAGAGATTACATTTTAGAGTAGTTTTGAGAAGGTTCACACATGTAGGTTCACTGGTTGTTTGGGTAGTAAATAAAATGGCTGTATTTGCATTGTAGGCATTATGACCCCTGCTTCCTATCACCACCGCTGGAAAGAAAATCTCTATCAGTAAGTTTCTCTACAATGAACCATTTTGCATCAAACCACCCTAAATGATTTTGTTTACATGTCGATGACTATTATGCAGAACTGTAGAAAAATCTGTGGAGTTTCAACTTTGTCCTAATTTACAGAATGGGTGTTTTTATGCAGTGCTGCCATTGATGGTGAAGACTAAATGCTGAAGACTACAGCTAAATGGTGTAAATGTAAGACACTCCATGCATTGTGCCTTTATGCTAGACTGCCTCAGTGTTATGTGGGAGGACAGACTCTGACACTAGTGTGCTTAATCCAGCAGTAATGAGGATTTGTAACTCTAACACGGTGTTATATGAGCACGTTACATTAGTATTTATCTTTCTTGTTCGTTTTGTTTTTGTTTTTTTTTTGAAAGCATATGGTTTGAGTGACTCAGTATTTAAATGCTATCAACTTAGTGTTTCAATGCAATATGACATTTTAGTAACTGCAGTATGTACATTTTATGACTATGAAATAAAATATTTTTATTCATGTGTTTGGTTTGATTTTTTGAATTCCAACTTTAACGTTTCTTTTTATTTTCAGTCCAACATCAACGCTTGCCCTCTTCTATGTGAGGAAGTGGTTTACTTCATAGAATGCCAAAAAAAAGTCCATTTCAGGTGAATCTCATTGGCTGTTCTTTGCACCTTATAGAATCCCTCTCCTCATTGGCTAAGACTCTTCACTCCTCTGAATGATCTTTAGAAAAGCCACACCTTTCAGAATGTAGCTCCAGCAAAGCCTTCAGTAAAATGAAAATGGAGCGTTTGGTGACTCTTTTTGTTCTAATTTTTTTTGGGTTGTGTTGTTCTTCAGGTTTCTAGAGGTTGAGTGTTAAACATATGCTTCTTTGCTCCTTTTCAAATCTCTGCATGAGCTTGCGGCTCATGAACAGATCAGCGCTGTACAACCTTTCCTCACTGGCAGACTCCACTTGTACTCTGTAGCAGTGACATGTGGAGAAGCATCCATGGAGGTCTGTGTTAAAGGCGATTTGTTTGGTACAGGTGTTCCTGTACGGGCCGATGAGCTGGCAGTGTTATCTGCAGGGTCTGTTGGAGACTCCTGCAGAGCCAGTGTGGCTGGACAAGCTGAGTATAAGATCAAGGTGCCATTTGACAAGTGTGACACCAAGTTGTGGGCGAGTTGGCCTTTATTGTTTGCTTTTTTACAAAGTTTATGGTGCAGGTGAAATGTATGTGATTTACAGTGTAGTACAGTAGTGGATGCATGACTGAGTCTGTATTTTTCATAATCTAAGAGACGTACAGATCTAAAGGCTTGTGCTTAAATACTTAAAACTGTTTCCTAAGACAAATATTAATGAGGTGGATGTGCATGTATTCATTAATTTCAGACAATTGAATGCCCCAACAAGCAGTTTTCAGCAGTTAAGGTTCTAGAGTCAGATTTGTTCACAATGTTCTGATAGGAACCAGAAATCTGAAGTATGACTGAAATATTTAATGCCCCTAAAAGCTACATCACTGAATATTTTTTTTACGTTTCTACACAAAATGATCACAAATAAGATGCCTGATGTCTGAGACACATATTTATGATTGTTTTATTGTTTTGAGGAAATGTTTTGCTCTTAAGAGTTACAGGGCACTGTAAGGCAAAATAGTTCCCAAAGAAGATTTTTTTGGATTTGCCATTATTTTATTGCTTTCAATGTTACATACAAAAACTAAAGAGACTGTGCATTCACTTATTTTGACTCGTAAATAAAATGGCTGTATTAGGCTCGTCATGCTGACCCCTGGTTCCCATCACCACCACTGTAAATAAATCCAAGTCTGTAGCAAAAAGGAGGGTACTTAAAAGAAGATAAATATGAGCTTTGTTTAACACACACACTGCATAATAATAGTGGAAATATTGACAATAGAGAAAACTCTAGATTAGCAGATGTGCCAGAGTTTTTGACTGGTGCTCTATGTCATGCCAGTGTCAGTAGGTATGCTGAGAGGATTGACCAGAAGAGAACAATGCATTACCATTAACATTAGCTGCATGATGTCTTGCAAACTGTCTACTTTGGTTTAATGTTGTAATGTTGGTTTAACGTGCTACTGTGCAGTGATGTGCATGTGTACTTTGGGGCACTAGAGGGCAGTAGTGTTGCAGCACCTCAGAGCTTAAGCTTGCTGCACCCCACTTATGTACATATGTACGCTGGTCAGACAGGACGCTTGTATTAGTTTTCTGCTTTATACTTGTGCAGGTGATTGGAGCAGTGAGTTGACGCGTGTACTACCTGGGTGATGTTATAAATGTAGAAGCCTCAGTGGACGCGGCCAGTCAGCTGCCACCGTGTGTATGTGGACACCGATGCTGCTACACAGAGTCCTGATGTTACCACTGCGCCCAGGTATGTTTTCGTAGAGAACCATGGGTAAGAGCAAAATATTTAACAATTTTTTTTCCCCATCCAGCTCAAAATAGATGGAACTATTATTGGAGACTAGTTGTTTATGTTGACGTTAGGGCCAGTTTATTAACCCCATCCTGTCCAATAAATAAATTTTTTGTGATAAGAAAACATCCCACAGATGATCTAAAGCCATGATGTTTTTATAGTTATACATTTCATCTAAGAGTATTCATTTTGAATTGCGCATACATGTCTGTACATTTTTCACAATATAATTAGGATTTTTTACCGTTTTTGTTAAAAATCAGTGGTCCCCTGTGACATATATATATATATATATATATATATATATATATATATATATATATATATACACACACACACACACAATGGTGCCATTACTGCAGAGGAATGACTTATTACATCAGTGAAGAGAACATGGTGTAAGGAAGCTGAGAGATTCTGCCAAATCTGTCTGCTGAATCATGCAGGATAACAGCTGATGTTTTACCATTTTTGCAGGTGTATGATTGACAGTCTGCTAACAGGCTCTTCCTCCTACTTCCTGCCCCATTTCAAGACGACCAACTGCACTTCCAGTTGGATGCTTTCAAATTTCAGAATACTGACAGTAATTTGGTTAGCAGTCATTTTTTTATTTGTTTGTTTGTTTGTTTATTACCCCAGGTACTTGTTGATTTCCTTGCTTTGCTTGAAGCTTCTTCCTGTGAGCTGGAGTGACATATTGTGACTCTTCTTGCAGATCTTCATCACATGTTATCTGGATGTTGTGCCCACTGCACAGAGGCATCCTGAGAAGCGGGCTTGCTCTTACATTGATGAAAGGTAATATCCTTTCAGATTCTATCATGCTTTTAAAACGGATTTTTTAACAACATAGTGTGTGTTAATTTTTTAGTGTGTTTGAGCTACCTTTAAATCTTATTCTGTACAGGTCTTTCTGTCTTTTTTCAACAGCTGTGTTTTCTAGAAGCAGACAAAGTACCTCATGGAACTGGCTTATCACTCACTCTCTTGCTCACTCACGTTTAGCAGGCTGATTCTCCACAAGCGGGCCCCTTTAGCGGTCAAATACAGTCGTTTGTGAACATTTGTGCATTTTGTTAATTTTCTAAGTGAAAGTAAGTACACATCTGCTGTAGAAAACATACTTCTGCACAGTTACTGTTTATGTGCTGAATTTAACATATTGGGGGTGGAGGGGGGTTAACCATAAAATGTATAGAGTTATGCCACATTTTATATTTTATGTTTTTCAATATTTTAAACTCAGCAAATAAATAGAAGCTTAAATAGAAATTCTAATATTTAGGTTTGTTTTCTATAGGATGCGTTAACGTATGCTTCATAAGAGCAGCATCTTGCATCAGTGGCCCTTATTTTAACACAATGATGTTTTAATTTCACAATTTGTCAATAAGAAACTGTTTTAATGGCCCAATGCTTTATGGTAATATAATAACTTTAACGTTATTATATTGCACGATTTTATTGAGCCATGCACGAGAGTGCATGGCTCAATGAAATGTAAATGGTCATTTTGTTGCAGTTATAGTAGATTTACAGTGTGTGTTATAACTTTTTTTTTGGGTAACTTTATATTTTTGGTTGAAAGCCCACTTGCATATCATCGCAGTTCAAAAAAAGTTATCTCCAAAATGGAAAAGTTACAGGAGAAGGCAAGAGTATTCTTTACTGTCAGTGTAAGTTACTGTAAAGAGATTTTATTCCAAGCAATTTTGGAGCATTTCTATTGGTCCATTCATTATGAAGTTTTCAGTCAGTGTAAGTTACAGTTGCTGTGCTCAAATTATATGGAAAAATAAAAAATGAAGATGCGTTTCTCTTTGGACATCGAGGATATGAAGTGTTTTTTCATTCAGACCACTCACCTTTCTCACTCAGGGGAGGCACCATTCCAGTTGACTTTCATAACATGAAGGTAACACTGAAGTACTCACACTTTTTGGTAACTCCATCAATTTCTACATTACATGATTGGCACTTAAAGTTTGTTTGGAAAAAGTAACAGTAAAGAATGGTACGGCCTTGTAGAGAGAGAGAGAGAGAGAGAGAGAGAGAGAGAGAGAGAGAGAGAGAGAGAGAGAGAGAGAGAGAGAGAGAGAGAGAGAGAGAGAGGAGGGAGTGAAATTAAAGATTTAGGCATGTTGAAATAATGTAGAACAAACATCTGTAAATAAGGTTGACTGGGACTGAGAACCACACAGAAAAAAAATCATGGGGTTACATCAAGAACAATAACTTTATTCAACCTAAATAAATACTTTGAATGAATGTTCACTTTTAATCAAAGTACTGATATAGGAGATATTTGAGCACACCTAGTTTAATTGCACATTATGTGGTGTGGGTTTTTTTTTTTTAAAGGCTGAACTGATGAACTGTTTTTTACAGTAAGTATACAAAGTTCATTCACTGTACAAAGTAAAAATTGTCCATCTTCACTTTGACAGTCAAGTTAATACAGTTCTTTTAATGTTAACAGTCTTCAGTTTCTCCTGTTGTCAGTTGCTAACTTTTTGTATTTTGTGTTTAATTTTGTAAATCAAAACATTTTACCCATCATTTGCTAGGTGGAGATCTGCAGATGGGATTGACCAGGTGTGTCTGTCCTGTAGCTGCGGAAACTCTGCTCAGGATTTGATTGAGCCAGTCATGTCCAGCCAGCCTGGTAAACAAGATGGCCAGAAAGTAACCAAGAGGCAAAGTGATGAGCAAAGAGGTAAAATACTTATGACACAGTGTTGCACATCAGTTATTTTTACTTTCATTTATGTGGTGGTATTATTATTATTTTGTAAATATAATTATGGTAGCAGTGTTGAGATTAATTTGATTTTTGAGAGGGGAAAAGTTTTTTGTTTTAAATGTTTTAAAGTGAAAATATGAAGTTAGTCCCTCAGGGAAGGAAGCCCCCTCAGCAAAAGGGAAAGAAGCCACCATGACCATATTTCCCCCTAAATATTAGTTTTACCATATTTCACCAAATATTAGTTACATTTTCACTGACTCAATGTACTTTTAATGAGCTAATGTTCTGTGATAGTTATAGCAGTCTTTAGCTCTTTAG